AGGGAGATGTACGATACTTTACCTGTGCCAATAATGGGGTACGGACGAACGTATTCGGCCAAATGCTCACCGGCGACGACGGTAGTGTTGTATCCTTCAATATTCACAACAATCCAGTTCTTCCACTCCCGAAGCGAATGATTACTTTGGGAGGGCTCATCTAGGCCTGCGAAAATAAACATTTTGCAATCAAAACCAATTGATGCCTATGCTAATTGGACGCATTTCTGCAAAACAATAATAAAACAATTTAAAGAGCGGGTAACAAGACTAATTTTCACGAATAAATACCAAACTGAAACTGCGTACTTAGTACCCGGCCTGTTTGATAGAATGCGTCCAATTAGTGAACCCTATCTTCTGTTACGCATCTTTGGAGAGAACATAAAAATTAAGAATTTTGGCGCAAGTCGCAGATCGATATCTTAATTTTTGACCGAGTTATGATAAAGTTGACCTTTAGCATTTCAAAAAACCATAACTCCGGTTTAAATTATCGTAGAGAAAAAATAAGACGAGGGGGGGGGGGGGTTCGGACCCCCAAATGCGTCAGTTCAAATGTCCTCCAGCAAAATGAGCCAATTTCCCCTTACTTTGCCTCAACATTATCTCGGTAAGTTCAAAATTAGTTCAACATTGCGTTTTCAAGTCCCCAAATTTTGGGCAAAGTTCAAGAAACGAACTTTAATCACTTAAATTTCATGACGTTAAATTTCGTTTTTTGAACTTCGCCAAAATTTGGGGACTTGAAAAGTGATTTTTCCAATGACATACTCTCAACAAAAATGCTTCCTTTTTCATAGTAAAGTATCATTATTATTGACCTCCTCGATAATTCTGAATTCATAGTACACGTTTTCTTTTATATCTCCTCTCCTTTTTTCATCGAAATTTCCGAGAGCAAACGAACTGCTTCGCCCCATCGTCATTCACATGGTCAGCGATGAACGGGTTGTTTTTTTTCTTTCTTTCTTTCTTTTTTTCTTTTTTTTTTAGCTTTGTCTTATTTTACGCTATATTAACCCACACAAGACAAGAGGTCCGCGAAGCAGACAGTATAGGGCGCGGGGTGCCCTCGGGGTGTTGGGCTTCGTAGCGGTCATGAGTCGTAGCCCCATGATGGTTCATCGAAAACCACGAAGTTGGCATATTTCTTACCTAACATGAATAAACAATAACGATCTTCCATGTTGTCTCCCGGCCAATCAATCCAAAATGGTTCATCTCTGATACCACCTAAATCATCGATTACGTTTCCAAAATTTGCGTACAAACCTTCACTCCATTCCACCTAAAATGAGAATAATGTAGTTCAATTGCATTGAAAGTTTTCATTTAATGGTGGGGGAAATCAGTTTTCAAAGATGTAATCAGCCCCACTCTTGAAAATTTAAATAAAACTAAAGGTGCGTCCAGATCAATCCATGGGCTTCTTACGCCCCTTCGTAGCATTCGACTATTATTTTAACTTTTTAAATTTTTCGGAAAGTGTGAGTTTTTTCGACTAATCATGAGAATATGGGTGTATTATATTTTATTTTTTCTCTGTGAAGAGAGTTAATTGGTATTTCTTTTAGAATAGTTATTCCTAAGCTATTTGGGAGGATGGGGGACTTTGGTGGCTAGGGGTCGCAGAGCGCCAGAGAGCGCTATAAAAGCGGCTTAAACATACATACATTCCTCAGCTTATATCTCGACGGAATAAATACTTCCATGACCAATAAAGTATTATCTGAGCTTCATTAGATACCTGAACAGCGTTTGGCGGTGCAATATCCAGCAAGTCAGGTATAATTCTATGTTTTTCCAAAGCTGCTTTAATTTCCGCAGGTGATTTGTGGAGGACAGATTCTTCCTCAGAGTTAGCCAGAGATGCGTAAAATAAGGACTCAAAAGTTAATGTGATGAAAATTGTTTCAAAATCCAGCCAAAAAAAATTAGAGACCATTGTTGTTATTTCAAGAAAGTCAAAACTCTTCACTTATCCCAAGAGATCACCCGGTGAATATGTTGGATCTGGCACATATTCGGCACGGAACATGTTAGCTGCCAAAACTCGTCCCAGATTATTTCGCTGTGCAAAGTCAATGACCGAGAAATTTGCTCGATGAGGACTAGGATTTTCAAGCCTGGAAAACGTTATTATTTGCACATTATAAATCAGTTTAGAAGAGTAACAATTTCAGTGTTTCTCTTGGATTCTTCAACATTTTGAATTGTCCCTCTCAGAAGTTAGATATTAGACAAAATCAAATTATTATTTTTTTATAAATTTTCTGTCATCATTTGCCATAAAAAAGAGCAGTTCTACTTGTTTTGAGGTTAGTTGAAGTATCCCTCTATGTCAAAGATATCCCGATGAATCTTGGAAGGAAAATTGCACTGATGCACTCGGAGCTTCTTGCGTCACATTATTGTTGTTAGATACTTTTACTTATACGTATACTTTTACGTATTCTCTGAAAACTTACTCTGCTACAATAACCGACGTTGCTCTACTGACATTGCACTGCGCTTAATTCTTAATCGAATGGCTTTCTTCGGAAACTGCCCGACTCATCGCTAATGGTTTAGCAATTCCTATTGGATTTTTTTCAGTAAAAAAACAATTAAAGGTATTTACTCAATTATTTCTCAATATATATATATATATATATATACACATTGTTTTTCAAAATAGAATAAGTCATTTTAAAACATTTCTGTCAAAAGTGTCGGCTAGTATTTTATACAAAAATTAAACTTGAAATGTAAGAAGAAAAACTGAATCGTCCCAATAGACTTTGACAGTTTTTGAAGCAAGCCTTTCGACTTCAGCAACACAGGTAACACAGACGAAAAGCATCTTGAAACATGTTTTGAGTAGGATATTGATATGATTGACCATGGCTGTTTACTGATTGTGAGTGCACGAAACTTTTTACGTCATGCTGGAGAGTGTATTTAAATGGATACCTAAACCTTTTTAAATTACACTAAAATTTAATTTTAAAAAAATCCATAGATGTGAAGTCTCTCTCATCTCAGATTTACGGGTTTACAATTTTTTTTTCATGCTGCACGAGATGAGATGCTCTTCGAATACGATGAGACTACTGGTTAGGGCAATTGATCTGAGCTTCTAAGCACATCGTTGTAAATCGAGTAAAACAATGTTTCATTATCAGTTCGATATTTGTGATTTTATTGATAGTCCAGGTTCTTATGTACTCCCGTGGAACGGTAAGTGAAGCAAGTGTGGAAAATATCTTAATCTCTTCATTTCGATGCGTAAAAAAAGAATTTCGATGTTGTCAAGCNATTAAAATATTTTCCACACTTGCTTCACTTACCGTTCCACGGGAAGCTTTTTTTGAACATAAGAACCTGGACTATGATTTCTTTGAAGTTAATCGATCAGACTTAAAAATGAGAAGCCGAATTTTTGTTTGATAATTGTTAGTAATGAACGGCAGGAGAGTCAGACAAAATGATCACACTGAAATTACCGATCGAAGTTTAACCTTGGTCGTTTCAAGTATTCAAGAGGAACTTACGTGTCTTTGATGGGAGAAAATTCAAAATACTGCCGACCGTTAGGTTGCTCGTATAAAAACCAGATGAATCTGTGCACTCCTGTATAGTTGTAAAATACAAAAATAGTAAAACCGCGTAAATTTAAATTCGAATAATTTCTCAGATTTTACTCAAAGGCAATACAGCTACAAATATTGTTAAAATATCTATTGGGAAAAGCTATGAAAATAATTTGGGTCCGTGGGTGTTTCAAGGGGGGTTTAACCTTTCTCAAACCCCTGAGCAACGAGATCTGGTTTATTACAGAAACCATAATATCTTAAAATTACTTCTAATAAGCAAGTAAATTTCGAAAATTGGATTCTCTCCTCACTTCCTTTTGGCATTAATTGATATCTTGTGATGAAAGATTGGTTATTATTTTACCTGTGTCTTTTGCTGGTTTTGGAGGATGGTACTTCGCAACGTTAAGTCCCTGCAAGATTTCCGGACCATCTATGTTGACACAAAGCCAATGCAAATAAGGATTTTCTCCGCGAACACCTTCATTCTTCTTATCTGCATCTAAGATAACAATATAGTAATTCGGAAAAAATGCATCAGCAATATTTCGTATAAAATTCCTGTAAGAGGACGGTGGAAATATTTTTCCATGGGAAATAAAGTCACCGTCACCCAATAAGTTTTCCAGGTAGAATTTTTAGCACCCTTTGGCATCTTAGCTAGAATTCTTCAAAATTCCTTTTTGGTACAAGTTTAATTCAGGGGCTTGGGGGACAAGATGCATAACTGCAGTTTTTGAAACAAATGGGATACTAATGATTTTAAGTAAAAGTAGTCTTAATGCATATGATGTGACAAATTCACTCCCTCATTCCAAATTTTAAGCATCAAAAAGTTAGTTTGAACTTTCTTTCCGCCACTAGGATCCATGCAATTTCGAAACTTCAAACATGTATTGTAATTCTCAAGATAACAAAAACTGCATTTATGTGCCTTGTCCTCCAAGCCCCTCAATTCAGCTTTGAACTTTTGTGATGTCAGAGGGATTTAGGGTTAAACCCTCACTTTCATGCTGAAATAAGTGTAGATACTTTAGCAGAGAGGGAAAGTGCGTGACTGATAGTGAATAGTGATCCGACAATGTTTAATTACATACATTCTTACCCACAAAAATGAGAGTGTGGTGTTTTCCTTCCTCAAATTTCCATGTTATCAGCTGAGGTTTTTCTTCGCAGATGTGGGGGTCCAGTAAATTCCCGTATTCCGCTTTTTTACCATCCAACCATTCAACCTTAATTTGACAAAGAAAGTTCACTGATCAGTACTGAATATTTATTATGTACCGCTGTGATAAATTTCAAAGTTTCAATTAACATATGTATTTTTAAACCAGAAAATCCCAGAAAACCTTTGTGTTGCCTTGAAAACATGAGTTGAGGGGCTTGGACGGATAGGGCGCATAAGTGTGGATTTTGCAATTTCAAGGAATGCGTGTCTAAAATTTTAAACTAACATGGAGCCACGTATTGCGGAAAAAAAGTTGTACTTTTTGGTGCTTAAAAACTGGATTTTAGTCGTGTGGTTATATTACAGAATATATTTTTAGACTAGTGTTCGTTGAAATAATTAATACAGCAATTGTTTTAAAATACTGCATTTATACATACCTTGTCCTCCATTGCCCCTAAATCCTCAAATTCAATTTTTTCACGATTTTAACACGTTTTTTTTTAAGTATTACTTTTTGCGTTACTACTGTAGGAGTGTGACTTGAGAAAGTTTAACAAAATCTTCTGTCTTTCATTTTATTTTGAGATTTGTCAGTTCAATTCCTGTTAAAAAAGGTACCATCGCGGGTGCCGGCGCCCTCCTGTCCCTCTCTCTTGATCAAAAAAGAGAATTTTAAGCACACTTCAGAGCACACCTATTTTTTCACATCCGTTTTAGCTTCAAAACGAATGGGTTTCCAGTACATTTCTTACCCACAGATATTGTCTAGGCCCTTCAGGGATTAGTTGGGGAACAACATGCTGTCTCTCAAGTTCCGCACGCATTTCGAGCTCCGTCATCAGGATCGTGCCGTTGACTCCACATTTTACCACAAAAATGAAGTAACTAAACACAAAAAACACAAAGTCTGAAGTCAAGAAAGCTCGCGACTTCAACCTCATTCTCCGAAAAGAGTAATAGAAAACGTGTGGTAAAAATTCCTTAAAAGCGATCAACATTCATCACGTGATCAACCTTGAATGTTTACCTCCATATCAGTCTAATTTAGCAGAGACATTGATCTCAATCAATGAGTTTCAAAACTTTGACCTGTTTTACGATGTGATAGTGCATTGACGAACGGAAAGTATAATAACAAAAGTTCAGCAAAGCTCTTTTGTGAAGCCCTTGGAGTTGAAAGCTCCAAAATTCCAAACCGGAGTGAAGTGTCTCACATTTGCAAATGCTATATGTACATATAGATTCCTGCGATTTTCCGAAACCACATAACAAATGCGCAAACTATCAAAAGACGTGCACTGCCTCTTGAAGTGAAGTTACTTAACCTTACTGATGCGAGGGGGATGATTGGTGCTTAGAAATTGCATGAATTCGTGAGTACATATGACAATGCTTAACGCATGCGAATTTGTATTTTCTTAGGAACGTTTTACTTCTCCAAATTGTATGGTTATATGCATTTAATTATAACTATCAAAACTTCCTGTTCCCCTACAATGGCGGATCCCTCAATTTTTTCGGCATGTGGTTATCCGCGACGTAAAGTTGAGATTTTTTTCCTGATTGGGGGGGGGAGGGTAGTATGCATTAAACCATATCTGCCTTGACAATGGATGCCGTTTTGATTTCCGACTATAATGAAAAGGACGAAATTCATCCAAGCAGTGGAAATGGTAATAGTAGTTCCAGTTTTAGATGTTCAAGGTAATATCGGATATGGAGGGCTCACACGGGTGGCGAGGGATGTTAGACCAAAAATTCTACTTTTACGACTAAAGTAAAATATGATCATACATTAAATTTGATAGTTTGTATATAAACTTCAAAATTTTGACTTCCATGTGGACAAAAGGGCGTTAGGTTGATTTCCAACTAGTGCCATCACTTCCGAAAGTTGAATTCTCTAAATGAAAACGAAGAGGATGGGCCATACAATTTCCTCCTCTTCTTTTCTTTCTTAACTGCAGCTGCATATAGGAGCTCATTTTGGTTATTTGTATCTAGACTTCCAAATATGAGTGTTTCAATGAAAAAAATACTTCCAAAACTAAAAAAATATGCTGAGGTAATACCAACCTGTAACAACTGATGTCTAATTTTCAAAGTATTTTATTTGCGTTTTATTGTCATGCCTTTATCTGAATACATGTTCAATGAAAATGAATAAAAATCATTTTTTCGGTAAAAAAAAAAAAGTCAAAGACGTACACAGAAAATATTTGAATACGGGTATTAAAAGTATAAATTTACTCAAAATTGCATCTATTTATGTACAAAAGATAATATTCTGTGATTGACTAGCTGCCTACAATATGTCTTGTTCGAAAGAAGTTCACTGCTGTTGGTTTCCCTAAATCATACTTCTCCGCAAATGCTTTACTAGAAAAATTTGACCGCAGATGATTATTTTGCCTGCAGGAAGAAAAAAAAATATGGTTAAAAAATAAACTCATTAAATTAACGTCCCCGCCATATTCATCTCAAATAGATATTCCAGTAACAATCATATTAGACACTCACTCTCTGTAAGTATATCTTACGTGAGCAAGCAAAAGTATGTGTGGAACCCAAGGGAAAACAATTAGAATGGAATATATTTTTCGCACTCTCAATCAAGAATTCGTGTTTTGACAAGCATGTCAACGGTGAAACTACCAGACCACGTATCTCGTTTACAGTGTTTAAAAATCTCCGCTCCCATTTTATTTTTTTGAAGGTGAATAAATCAAAATCATTTCTTGTAATCCTCACAAAGTTTTCATCGCACAGAGAAGAAAAAGCAAAGAAGTTTTCAAGAATTGACGCTGAGTAGTTTTCTATTTAAAGAATGAAGTATTACAGGAAGTCTACAACGTCGCAAATCGAGATATGTGGTCTGGTAGTTTCACCATCGATGTACATACCATGCCACGCATTGATTCGTGATTCACAATTTTTGAACATCTTCACATAACATGATTTGTATCTTTAAATGAAGACCAGATGCACAACTACTGTTGGGTGCTGGTTTTAGAAAGGAAGTTGATATTTTTAATGGAAAAGGGTAGCTAAATAACACAGGTAACATCCATCGGCTTGAACCCATAGACCATTTGTTGCGAACAGGGGGTGGGCGGCCGACCGGTCAGAAGGCAACGCGCATCAGCGCCTACAAACCTAACTGTGATACTTCAAGCATTGCGCAATGCGTGAAGTATCCCTTTAGGCTTGTAGGCGCCAATGCGCGTCTCGCACAAGTAGCACGCCGCAAAGTGGATCGAGTCAATCAGAGAGTTTGGACTTAAAATTGTTGACTAAAACTGCAAATTTTGATGTTTAGATCTTCGCATTTTAACTTTTAAGGCGTGCTTCTGGAAGAAAATTTTACGAGAAAGTCAATGGAACCACTTTCAAAATATCAGAGTTTTGTATAAACCGAGTTATAAGCTTTTAAAGTTTCCAAATTTTGTCCGAACTCCCCTATTGAACCAATCCACTGTGGGCCGGTGGGGTTTCCATTTGTGACAATGTTTAGGCTCGGATCAAGGTAAAAGACAAAGACTACTCACGTGGACGTTATTTTTGTTTCATTAAACTCTATTTTATGAGGTTGCCAATATGCTAGGAATACATATCTAAAATATCCTGTAAGGAAATTAAATTGAGTTAAATAAAATAAGTGTCATATTGGAGTATCAAATTGATTTAACACCCTAAAGGTTTTTTCTCGTAGAACTAAATGAGTACAACATTTTAAAGGGCAATGACCCTGATTTATTCCAACAGCACCTTTCCAATCCTGAATACATATGGAATATGTGCCAATGACCATATGGTTAGGTCACGCAACTAAACCAACTTCGAGGTAAAGCGTGGAGTATCATGCAGAAATGAAGTAGCACCAAAAGGCTAATTATTGGAGAATCATTTTTACCCCATTGACTAAAAAAATGTTGGAAAATGCTGTAGAATATGATTAATCATTCTGGAGCATTAGGAAACGTGCATCAATAATTGAGGTATCTCCAGGGCAAAATTGACGATCGTGTTGCTGGTAAGCAGAAACTGCCGGCGATTCTGTGTCACCGGTGTAGTTTGTAACAACAGGGATCCATTTAGATACATTTATGTGCATAGCGCGTTTTCAGCCTTCAGCGATGATAGGTCATTTAACTCTTGTTGCACTTGACAATCGCGTTTTAAATGGACGTATTTATGCTAAATGGAACTATGTGCAAGTGGAGAGATGGGGTGTGCTCGTGGAGGCTGCATAAGAAACAATGTAAGAGCGGATGTAGTTGAGAGAGTATACTTTTGAGAGAATGGAAAAGCGGGATTTTCAATTAAATCAAAAGGACCGGCACGCTAACTCGTGAGCCATGGGCATGTGACAAAAGCGTTGTGGACAGGGCTCATGAGTTAGAGACCTCCTTGCCGATCGTCGTCGCTCCCGTCGTTGCCGATGACGTCACTGGTGCTTTATATTTCCCATGCATTCTTATGGTCAGAGCACTAACAAGCACACCCCTTCTTTCCACGTGCACATCGTCCCATTTAGCATGAATACATCCGAATTTTTATTTTGATTAGGTTGGAGGTCTTTCGGTCTCAAAGTACATCATTTTACATAGCAATTGCTCTCCTTCTTAGCATATTGTTGTTCTTGATATAGCTTGGCACAATCTTTTACACTGGGTCGAAAATATCTATCGGTTTTTGATTATTATATAACCTTTAGATGCCCTAGCCGTGTCAAAATAACTCGAGGCTTGCTGAAGACCGCTCCCCGCGGGTCGGATGGGGCTTGGGGCCGGTACACAATCGTCGCTCCTCTGACATAAGGGCGTATCTTGCTTTCCACATGAGCCCTAGAAAGCATAGATTTATATGTAAAGCAAGGCTCATGTGGAAATTGAGATACGCCCTTACGTCAGAGTGGCGACGATATGAGCATTACATATTGGTCTATAAATATATCCTGAAAAGAGAGTCAGACAACGAATTGAATGAAAAGAAAAAATCGAGTGTCTACACAACCGAAGGTAGAAGAGACATGATCAGGCACCGTTTTTAACTTTTCTCCCGAAACCTAAGACATCTCCATGGTGGCATAGAGCGGAGCATTGCAAGTTGACGCGTCGCGTCATCGCGCCTTCAATTTTGCAGATACAACACGGGCATCCGTCAAGCACGAATAGTTGTATCTTTGGGCTGTCATCAAAAAGCGTTGAGGTGTCTCTTATTTTTGAAATTATAGAGTAAATAAGGTCAAGTTTTTTTTTCAAATTATGCAATGATGTGGCCGAATCAAAAATTAATTTGAATTAAAAGGGGGAAAAAATAGACGCACGTTCAAAAATTAGCATTTTGGCTTTCGCTGTTTCGAGTCGAGGATATTTTTTTATGACAACTACCTTCCCAGAACTACTTACTAAGAGGTCCCAAGTCGGGTTAAATACGTCTAGGGCATCTAAAGGATGAGGGTACTACTTTTTATCAGTATCAGTTAAATGTAATAATATTGGACGTCGCTAGTCATTTTTTGAGTTTGTTTGATATAAATGGAACGAAATATTATTAAAAAAAACAATTTTCAGACAAACCTTTGCCTTCAAGTGGATTTGGGCCAATGTATTCGGTCAAATATTCTCCCTTTGCAAAATCGTACTCTTTAATATTGCCTACGATCCAGTGTTGTTTTTCTCTGTGCAATGTATGTTCCTTGAATTTTTCATCAAGACCTGGAACACGGTTATCACTTTCATTATTTGCGAATAATCCTTTGAGGCTTCTTGAATCATTCAATAATTTGATTTCTCGAGTTATTGCTCCTAATAGCAGGAGATAAAAGAAATATAGCAGAGCGACGGTGAAACTACCAGACCTCGTATCTCGGTTTACGACGTTGGAGACTTCCTGTCATACTTTCTTTTTTAAAAGAAAAATCATGAAAAATCACGTCAATTCATGAAAACTTACGAGATTTGTCTTCTCTGTGGGAAGTCACACGCTGGCATTAGAAGGAAAAAAACTCTACTTTCTATTTCCTACCAATTGTCATTCTCTGGAATACATTAAGTACCTGTGAGTATCATAGTGTAGAAATCCGTGACATTTGCATTCCAACCTGCCCAAAATGGTTCAGTTTTTGTAACAGTTGAATTAATTTCATTTCCAAAAAGTGCTTCAGGACCACCATACCACTCCACCTAGAAATAATTCAAACCAATTTAATCTTTATCTACAAGAATAAAGCATTCACTGCAAAATTAACATATACTGGTAAAAAATATAGATATTTAGAGATTCGAATTACCAGCGCATTAGAGGTCAAGCTTTTACGAAGCGTTTCTGGTCCTTTGACTCGTAAAAAATTTAGACCAATCAGAGACGTGTATTTTCTTTGAATTAGAGATCTGAAGATAAGTCTAACCTTCCTCAAACGATCATCCATTGTACGTTCCCATCAAATCATTATTAATTCCTAGCAATCTTACAATAATAAGCGATTTAGTATTAATAAGTGAGAAGTAAGCATGAAAGGCGAGTTAACTCGTATTTCGAGGACAATTTTTGACGAGGCAGAGACCTGGACCCACGAGTTAGTCGAAATCTACGGATCATTTCCAATGAAATGTTAATACTGCCTCAAGCGGCAAAAAAAAGAAACAAGTAAAAAATATAATAAAATAATGAAAACCACGATTCAAGCTGTATGTATGAATATAGTTACGGTAGCGCATTTTTCGAGTAATAGTTTTCAACTTTTAATTATTTTTATACTTCAACTTTATTGAACATTAACGTACATTGTGATAACTTTAGTCTTAATCAGTATTTATTCATGTTAATATCATAGGGATCAGTAATGATGACGAACTCGAGGCCCAAAATTTGTATTCACTACTGATAAACAACACTAACATGCGTGTAAAGGCAAGGTTTCATATTTTAATTTTAATCTTATATCTGTACCTGCATCGGCAGCATGGGAACTTCGTCTAATAGGTCAGGAATAATTTTCCATTGCTTGAGATCATTTTCGATATCTCTCGGATCTTTATGAAGAACATCCATACCAGGGTACCATGTTGATGTCGATGGAGCCTCTCTCGATTTAACTAATGATACAGATAGGATTAAACATAGACATCTGTATTGCTGTTTCATCTTCCCCTTTGAACAAAGTGAGTAAAATTAAATATTATCGCAAAATAATTATTCTTTAGATACCCCTCCCCCCGGAAAAAATGAAACTATATCAATAAATCGTGGGAAGGATATAATCTGGATATATTTGTAATGCATGGCCTTGGATCAGTGATCTTTTAAAGGTCCACGACTTAAATCTTCGGGGAAAATTTAAACTGTGTATTTTTGGTCGGATAATACACATATATAAAAAGTGAATATATTTTTATTATTGTCCTTTTTTAGAAACTATTAGCAGTTGTGATGCTCAGTGTTTATGCGAGTTTGGATTTTGTAAAATTTGGACATAAAGTTGGTGATGAAATTATGATAAACGTATATGTGTAACTATCAAACTAAAATGCTGGATGTCTCTAAATAAATTGACTAACTAACTTTCTATCATGAAACCATTGTATGGCATCGGCCCACTTTTTTGAAATTAAAATGCTTTTGTGTTAATGTTAGAGCTCAGGTAGTTACATGGATGCATTTCACACGTTAAACAAGTAAAAATTAAGTAAATCAAATTAAGCATTTTTGAAAGAGCGTCTTGCTTTCTAAAAATGTCGTGTTCAAGACTGAGGGTCCAGATATTCCTTGGACTAAAATCTTGAAACGGTTTCAAACTTAGAATGAACTGATTTTCTGTACATAGTTGTTAGAGTTCTAAGTGATGTTAATAAAATTACTGCTTGTTAACACCGGCGAATTTGCCCATTTGAAAATTTGTATACCTAATGAGAGAGGGAGTTTTAGTAGATTTTACGTGGTACTCGACTTATGACATGCACTTACCTATTATCGAACATATTCGACTCCATGCAGTTTCTGTAGTTTTTAGATACCTCTCAATTCGACAAGTATCTTCCGCTCAAAAATTTACAGATGAACAAAGTAGTAATAAAGGTAGTCTTAATTTGGTTGTGTCACAAACATTGAAAATAATCCTGAGACATTTGAGGGAGAGGTCCATTCTGAAGCATGACGTTAAGAGTGCGCTAGGCGCCTCCTGAACAGTTGAATGATAACGTTTAAGTCGGTTTAAGTGCTTTAAAATAAGCATGTGAAATTCAGGACATGTGCGATTACCGAAGGTTATCGAGAACTAAAGACAATTTAATTTAGATGCTCATTCTGAAGTCGGTAATAATATTGTTTCACAACAGTTTATCGCGGTGGCTTATCTTACTTTTAAAAACGTGTAATTTCTTTTCATTTATACATTTCTTTTCCTTTTTTCAAATGATGAACCTTTATCACACTCATCGGAACAACTAAGATATAAGAACTTCTTTTATGTCCCATGTTTAACTCTGGCTTCGAACTCTTGGATCTGAAATAGACCTCTGAAACTTTCGCGTCTGCATATTTTCTAGATGTATCTTCTTACCGTTCCAGATAATTGGACGTATTTCTACCAAACAGACCTATGTGCAAGTGAGAAATGTGGGGTGTGCTCGTTCGTTCTCTTTGCGTGGCGAGTGAATGGGAATAATTGTGCGCCAGTGACGTCAGCGGCAATGAGAGTGCGCACTCTAACGGCGGGGAGATGGTCGTCGGGGCGCTTTAACTCGTGAGCCCTGTCCACAACGCTCTCTTACCATGCCCGTGGCTCATGAGTTCCGCATTCAGTTGCACATAGGTCTCTTTGATAGAATGTAATATCCCGCTTTTCCAATTCTTCAAAAGGAACCACGCCCACTTTTACATTGCTTCTTATGCAGCTTCCTAGAGCACACCCCATATTTCTCACCCGCACATAGGTCTGTTTGGTAGAAATACGTCCAATTATTGTTCTGAAATCTGTGGAAAACTATCTCTGCGTGTGGGATGAAAGTGGCGGTGAGTGCTTGGAGAAGTCGAACATTGGAAATATTTACACGCATAACGGTAGTGATTGTTGTGAGTTTACCGCAGATTCTCTCTATTTGGAAAGCAGCAGTAGTGTATGCTGAACCTTTGATGAGTTACTCGCAGGATGTACATCTGAAAGTTTCCCCAAAATTGCCGCTTTTAGGTGCATTCTTTCACGTTCAGACCCCAGGACAAATAAAAAGAGCATTCTTCAAGCACAAAATTGTCCCCGACATTCTTGAAAAAGCACCTAAGGACGTATTACGGGTAATGTGATGCATTATCTTTTTACTATTCCTTTTTCATGGTCTGTTCTTTATTAGGGGCATAGCTTATGAGGAGCTGATATGAGCTTGTTTTTGATAGCCTCGGGGAAGTTGATTACTCTCGGGGAAAGAGAGGGTGACAACTGAATTGGTATCCAACCTAAAAGCAATACTCCATTTGGCTATCGAGGCAATTCTGCATTAGATCCATCCGCCTGCAATCAAACTTACCAATAAGAGATATATCGACGGTGTTAGTCGGCAATCACATAAATCGGTTTGCGACGTCGCAGACTTCCAGTCATCATTTACTTTTAAAACGAAAAACTACTCAACGGTTATTCTTTAAAACTGCCGTGATTTTTCTTCTCTGTGCGAAGAAAATTCTGCAAAAACTTCAATGAATGATGTCAATTTGTTCTCCTTTAAGAAAATAACATAGAGGCGGAGATTTCTAGACACCGCAACCGAGATACATGTATGTGTATGTGATTGCGAACTTATGCTGTCGATATCATTGGCGGATCCAGCAAATTGACAACATTGTCTTTTCTCCATTTAAACCTATGGAAATATATCGATCCTTGGAGGGGCTCTGGGCCTTGGGTGCTCTGACGAGAATCGATTATTTAGCATAGGTTTAAATGGAGGAAATCCGGTGTTGCCAAATAGCTGCAAGTAGGGTAGAATCAAGGCGGGTACTCGCATCGCTAAAAATGGACCACCCGCTCGTCCAGATCGTTCAAAATTACTTGTGTTTAAATGGGTGATTCCGTTGCTTGGTCTGTATCTTTTTGAATGTTTTACAGTTTTTTTAAAGTTTTATTGATTTATAATCAGCATTTTGGTGTTCTGATCTTTGGATTTTCAAAATTTTGGTAGTATTATATCAGGTATTATACTTGGGTAATTTTTCGAGAGATTCACCTCTAAAATCCGTTAAAATCCCTCCAATCCTTCGCTTCTGGACGTGTTTTTGAGCGCTTCAAATCGCAAGATCAATCAGAAATTGGATTATGCCGCTCCAATGCCTTTTTATACGGCGATCTTAGGATGATCCAGTTTTTTATATCTCCGCGTAGTAACCGCTTTGATTCTAGGTTGTCCTAGCATTATGGAAAAACTTCCATTTCAGAGCCCGATACTTCTTTTCTGACTCAAATTCCAGAAGTGGTTTGTTCTCATCTTTTTTTTCTTACAGGTGAATTACAAAAATAGAGCATCAGTGGCCAAATATGGTAACGTTTTGAAACCTACAGAAATTGAGCGTAAGCCTTGTTTCGTAAGGTGGCCAGCTACTAAAGACTCAGTTTATTCTCTGTTCATGATAGGTAATACAATTGTTATTTTCATTCCAACATATTATTAGAGCGAATGCTCAAATTTTACGAATATCCACAAGCAGTAATAACAATTTTTATAATACCATTCAGTCTCACCGATCAATTTAGAAATAAAGGAATATGATAGTGCGGATTTTTTTACTTTTGATGTGAAAAGGCATTTTTTGCTCCATAAAAACATGGTTATTACCTGGTCCTCTAGGCGCGCACTTTAAATTTATCATTTATCGGGCTCCTTTGAAGTTTCAATAATCGGTCCGCCGGTAGGGACGGACACTCTCCGGATAGCGTGTAGTGTAGTGAGATCCATAACCTTAGTTGGGTTTAGATCGGACAAGCAACTAAAGCTAAACTAAGCGTGGAGTATTCAGATTGCCGACCAGACGCAATGCGTGAAGTATTCCTGCACTCTTGTAGGCGTTAATATGTGTTCCGTGATAACCAGCGCAGCGGTCGCACTGTGTTTGACGCAATGCGTGAAGTATTCCTGCACTCTTGTAGGCGCTAATGTGCGTTTTGCGCCAAACGGCGGCCGCAATACGTTTGGCGAGATTAAAAACGACGATACAGTGTTAGATTTGAAAGAAACCGTAGAAACAGAGGAGAGATAACAAGTTTGAAAAATGGCAGGGTAAAATTGATGAACGATTCATGCAGAGTGCAAACAAAAATATTCGAATAGAGAGTCTATCGAAAATTAAATGAAAACAAGAAGCAGAGGCTAATGCAAATACATTTTTATTTGTGAAAAATAGACTTACATCGGAGGAAAATTTCGACGTCAAGAGGCAGCGTTAATAAATTGCACTGAAAAACTTGAAAAGAAAACAAGGGCAGATCTGTGGAAACAAGTGAATAAAATTTAATTGTTACGTACTAGATGATCTCAAATTTGACACGAAAAATTTTAGAGGCAAAAATCAGGTTTCACAGTTTGAGCTTATAATGCATGCAGATTAGCTCAGATTTTTTTTCTTTCTCCTACTTCTTTTCCACCGTTCGAATTCCGCCTTTTTTTAAATGTCTCGTTTTGTTTGCAAGATCCGGATGCTGCCGTAACCGCTCCTAACACATCTTACTTGCACTGGTATGTTGTAAATATTCGAAATGGCAAAATAAAGACAGGACTCGAAATAGCTAAATATATCTCACCACGGCCAAAAAAAGGAACCGGTAAGAAGACGTTACGTCAGTGCTACAGCTTTTACCCCATGATCAATAATATTTTCATAGTACTCACCACGAATCCATATATCCGTCAAATACTGAAATGAAGATGATGCTAGGTGCTATTTTAATAAATGTTATAGAGTCCAAGTAGCGCACCCTAGCGGCAATGCGTAGAGTTTATCCTCCTGATCGATAAGATGCCAGAAAAGTATGACCCTTGTAAGGGGTATTATGCTTTTATTCTAGCATAATGGACCACCAGATAAGGTACGAATTTAAGCATTCTAATACATGCTTTCTAATTAGAATTTCACGTAGAGCACGATTTGCACAACGAAAATTACTTAAACCAACTCCTAACGAAGACATTAACGTTTTTATTCCACATTGGCTACGAGGAATTTGAACTGCCCGCTCACAAGAAACTCAAAGCTCTACGTAAGTCAAATCGCGCACTACAACGGTTTCAGCAAGCTTCTCGGTCGACCAATGTTCATGTCCCACCATGTATTGTTCAAACTATAAGCAATTTTCTATAGCTGAGCCAAAGCGTGAAGATTAAAGTTTCCAGATTTGTATATCGTAGAGACTGTCATGAAAACGTTCAGCGCGCGATGTGAATCATTTAGAGCATTGCATTTTTATGAGCGGGTGGTTTGAATTCACGCATCAAGAATCATTAAATATCTTCGCAAGGAGTTAATTTTGGTAATTTTCGTTGCGTACATCGTGTTCTACGTAAAATTTTGGTTTAGAAACATGTATCAGAATTCTGAAATTCGTACCTTATCTAGTGGCCCATTCTATCATGAATTTTTAACTTTCGGGACTAAGAATTGCAAAGCTGAATACCGTAACCAGTGATATTCTTTTAGATTTAAAATGTCATCAGTAGGGCATCGTAATACTAATTCAATTGATATAAAAGCTTATATTCATAAATATTTTCAGCAACAATTTATTTAATAAAATTGGCTTTAAAAGTATCTTTTTCTACAATATGACCACATAAGGAGAAGTGTCGTTTAGGACCAAATTCGGTATCTTTGGATTTCTCTAAAATTAGTGTTCCTAGATAAAAGAAGGTATACACAAAGTGGGTTTTTTTCATAAATAGCCGGCCAATAAACCCTGTCAGTGAGTTATATTGCTGTATACATGGTAGGGATTTGCGAGCCGCAAATCCCTACACATTTGTGTTTTAATTAATTAATTGTATGTTAAACACATTAATGTTCCCCTGAACATTTGCCATGGTTTGTAAGTCTATGCTGATTTTTGACTAGGGCGCGAAGAAGTGTCATAGTGATTTTCCAATTGATTGACCTAGTTTTAAATGCAAACAAAAACTCAGCCAAATACTAGCTTGCATTCTGGTCAAAATTAAAAAAGAAAAAGAAACTCAAATTTAAGGAAGAAAAAAAAACATGGAAAATGACAATGATCGACTTTTGGGTACATTTGGGGGATTCAATGACCGGCTGCGGCCACTTTTTTTGTCATGCAGACATTTACTGTTTATTCAGGATTAAACACAGTTTTGCCCTCAAGGATGTTCCTCTGCCATATTTAAAATCTTAGTACACGTTTAGATAAAATGCAATTATACAGTTTCAGTTTTATTTTCTCATTGAATTTAAGTTATTGCGCTGATATGAGAAATATGAATCACATACATTTTTTTCATCCAAATGTGTGTTTTCAATCACAGGTTTACACAGACTTATATTCCTTCTGTATACGCAGCCTCTTGGAGAATTGATTTTTTATGATGAAATGTAAGTAAAGTTCATTCATTTCTGTCAGGACTAACTTCTTCATAAGTCTTCATTCTAAAGCGAAATCCGTTTCATGTTTTCCCTTCGTTTTCTCATAAAGTAAATAAGGCTATTAAGGCTATATATAAGGCTCGTAAGGCTATTCAAAAAGCCAAGTCTCGGCCCTCGAATCAAAATCGAGGTCTCATACCGATGAAAAGGCTGGCCTCCGCAGTTTTGTTTAATTATTTGAACTTAAAACACATTCAACGGGTGATCTGCAGGGAACAAAATAAGAAATTTGTTTTCTTTTTTTTTAACTACCTTCCCTTCTCTTAAAAAAAAAATTCTACTGTTACGATCGTCAGCAGGATAGAAAATCGGAAAACGAGTGGTCTGAATTTACATGGTACTTATCGATTAGAAACACGTTGGAAGGATGCTGCTAGTTTAACTCTACTATGTGGACAGAAATGAAAACCCAGCTCCTCTACCCGGCTAGTTTCAAACCCTCACCGCCTCTCCCGGTTTCTAAGTGAAAATTGCTGCTCATTTGGGATTCTGGTTCATCCCTAAGATACTGCTGAGTCACGTCAAGTCATGCCCTCATACTGTTTTTAATAATATTTGCACCAATATATTTGTCTCTCTTCCCTCCCCCCATTCGCTATCTATCTATTTATCTCTCTAGTCTTGTAGGTGTAGAACACTCCTCAATGTTTCATTGTTAAACATGTGGTATCAATCAGAGGTAATTTTATTTTATTTAACTAATATAACTGTTGCAGGAATTATAATGATACTCGAACAAATTTTAGCATTGGAAAAATTGTTGAAGAACACCAGCTCGGGCAGCCTGCAGCCGGCAACTTTTTTCAGTCACAATGGATAAGACCTAGGCCGACAAAAAAACCGATTTTCAGCATGACGACGACAAAAAATTGTAATTATGTAGAGGAAATATCTTTTAACAAGAATTTCGTGGAAAAATAAATTAATTTATTGTTTATTTATAATCTACACTATAATTTACGCAATAGCCACGGTTGTTTATTTCACAGAATCTCACCGCATTAAATAACAAAATTGAAAAAAATGTCTTCTCCAAAAACTTAGACTCTCAACAGGAGTTAAAATGTCAATAGAAACTGATCGAGTGAAATTTTAGAAAATTAACACGATCCAAAATATGGATCTGAAAAGGTTGAAAAATTATATTTCAATAAATTAAGTAGTATCATTTTCATAACCCTGGTAGGCCCGTCCAGATGAGTGAAATTTCACGACCTGGTGCTTTCGGATTCTCATCAAAGCTATCGCTAAAAGAGGCTTACACTTGCGGTTGGGTTCGATTCTTTGATACAAATATTTAAACTCCTGTGTGTTGCACGGTATCAAGCGTAATTGAAGGCGTTTTATGTCTTGATATACTACACGCGATGATGGAACACCGCAGCGACGACGCGACGCTATGAATGGTCTGAAACCTGACGTTGAGCTCGATTCTGTGTTACAAATATTTCAACTCCTGTGTGTTGCGTAGTATAAAGTGCAATTAAAGGCGGTTTTTACCCTGATGTGCCACACGGAATGACGCAACGACATCATACGACAGGCATTTCATGCTTGCGGAATATTGAATCTCCGCAGAAGATCTAAAAAACAGAATACCAAGGTAGAGCTGCGGAAAATTAGGACAGCGTTGGTTCGTATTTAAGGAGGTATGCGCATCCCCTTTACACTGCAAATAACGACGGTCAAGAAATACTTTTATAGCTCAAAATGAACTGGAATCTGTAGGAAAAAACGCAAAACTGGCGTTTCCTCACAGCTAAATGATCGGAACATTCCAACATGAAAAAGACATAACTTCTCAAAACTCAATACCTATTGTGTCGGGAGAAATTTGGCGTCTGCATGTTCATACGTCGTTTTTCTTTAGCATGACAGAAACGCCGTCGGGCAAAATATTACGTGTGTGCGTGCTCTTGAGGAATAAAATACTGTGCCTGTGGCATAAAGTGATAACATGCTGCCTGCAGAAACTTTCAGTTGCCTCGGTCTTTTCCCCCTCTTTTTTTCACAGGTGTGGGTAGGTATATACATATAAAATGTTTTCAAAGCTGAGTGGCTCTAGTAGTCGTCGGGCTAGGAATTGAACTTCCTGCTAGAGTAGAATGAAGGCCTTCTGCTACTCATTGATTGTGTCGATTTCGTTGATTTTCCGTCACAATGGAGACGCGGTGAGTAAAAATTGTTGTAAACATTGACAAAAACGTTAGCATGAATGTAAAACAGGCGCTTAACCTACATCACCCCAATGTTGTATAAAGCGCGCATTTTTCCTTTTGGTTGAAAGAACTGCTTCTGATCGACTGATCGACTTGCAGAATACTTTTTCAATTCAGAGTTTTTAAATAATCACCATGTATCGCAGTTTTTAACGATATATTGCCACCGATGTAATCGCGATAACCAACCGATAAAATCGCTATTTATTGCGATCACTGCTACTTGGGAAATGGGCATGCACTTCCTGTAAAGGTATACTCCACATTTACCCTCCAAATTAGAGTACCTATATCACGTGCTTAGCTGACAAAGGGGCGAAACTACACATTGAGATCAGTGGCGTGGCGTGCTTTGCGATATATCGATTGTTATGCCATTTGGAAAAGGATCCTATGGAAACGGATCGATAAACAAGGTGTTCGCAGCGAACACCCTAGTAATTGATTCTTTACCATAGGTTTTAATGGCAGAGCAATCGATACATCGCAATTCACGCCACGCCACTGATTGAGATGAGCCCGAGAAAGCGTTGGGTTAAATAAACGACGCAGGGCTCATCGCGAAATGCAGTTACGCCTTTATGCCAGGAGGGCGACGATCAGTTTGTTGACCTACTTACGAAGAGCACGGACAAGTCGGTAATTTTGGGGTTAGGTGAAGAGCTCTTAGGGCCAATAAAGGCAGCCAATCTATGAATTCAAATTATCCGGAGTCATGTATTGTTACAATTGTCACGATCTATCGTTAGTAAAGCACGTGACTTATTCTTGCATACATTTACTCATAGTGTGTATATAAATACATATACTCATTTTGCGGTAAAGTATTCATTTATGAACATTCTTTTCATCTTAGTTTGATATCGGGATCTGAAGATTGGCAGTGGCATTTTTCGTTTTCAAAGGTTGACCGTTCTTTTAGGCCCTGAGAGCTCCATATTTCGACATGTCTGTACTCTCCCTATTTAGGTACTCTAATCAGAATAATGTATTCGCAAGTCAGAATTGGACTATTTATGCTAAATGGAACTGTGTGCAAGGGGATAGATGGGGTGTGCGCGTGCAAGCTGGATACGAAACAATGTAAAAGTGGACATATTTCCTATTGAGCAAAATGGAAAAGCGGGATTTGACATTAAATCAAAGGGAACTGAGCACTAACTTGTAAGCGGTGGGCATGTGACAAGAGCCTTGTGGCCAGGGCTCATGAGTTAAAGACTGACGACCTAGTCGTCGTGCGTGTCGAGCCCGGTCCTCACTGCTGACGTCACAGGCGCTTTTAAATTCCCATCTATTCTTATGGCACGAGTACTAACGAGCACACCCCATCTTTTTACTTGCACATAGTTCTATTTAGCACTGATACGTCTAATTCTTTCCTGGTTTAGTGATCTATTTCTTCCTTTCGTCGATGAGTAGATGATGGGGCCACCGCCCAGCTACCAGCCCCTGATCCAGGCTTACGACATCGCGGACGGTGAGTGCAGCGGTATCACCTCAAGAGCGCCGGGCGTCATCAAAACGGCGGCGGCCGAAACCTGTCGGCAGGCTTTCCTCATACTGGATCAGGCAGGGTGCCGCACACTAGTGCCGGTGGCTCAGGTTATACAGGTGCCGGCGGCTCAGGTTACACTGGTACCGGCGGCTCAGGTCGCACCAGTCCGCAACATGCACCACTTCCACCATCTCTTCAAAATCCTTCATCTCCGTATTATCCTTCATTCGACTATCCCTCCCCACGGGAATATCTAACATTTGGACGGGGAGCATATCCTCCATATTCTTCAAATCCACAATATCCTATAGCCCCAGAATACCCTGCGCGGGGAATCTCGATTTTTGATTATTCACTGCCTCCAACACCTCAAGAACCTAGACTTGCGGATCCTAACCTTCCGAGGGATGAAGATTTTGGTGTGGCTGACGTACCGTATGGATCACCTGTGTCTCCACCTGGGCCTGACTCAATATGTGTGGATGACATACCGTACGGGTCACCTTTATTTGCGGACGATGACCCAGCTCCTGCAGGTACGTTAATGGACGTGAAACTTAAAGAATGTACACGGAGAAAAAAACTTTGTGGGTGGAACCCGAAGTTTAGGTCGTATGGATCTCTGAAGTTTTCGGATTGAGCATCTGAACACTTTAGGTCCAGCTGCTGAGGCTTGCATCACACATCTGAAACTTCAGTTCTTACATCTGAAGTACTTCAGTTTTCACATCCGAACAACTTCTGTTCTCACATTCGAAATACTTCGGTTTTCACATCGGAAGTACTTCAGATGTAAGAACTGGAGTTCCAGATGTAGCAACTGGAGTTTCAGATGTGTGATCCGAACCTTGGCAGCTAGACCTGAAGTGTTCAGATGCTCAATCCGAAAACTTCAGAGATCCATATAACCTAAATTTCGGATCCCACGCACGATGTTTTTTTCCGTGTGTGGGAACTTTTATGACTGAAAAAAAGTTCAGTTAAACCGAACTAGTTAGGATGATATGGAACCCGGTTTTGTTTGGTACACACGATTGAATTATTCGGTGTGCTCAACCAAACTGTTCGGTCCGCTGAACCGAACTGTAAAAATGTGTCATAGTTCAACTGTACAGACCGAACAGTTTAGTTGAACAGACCGCAGAATTCGGTCGTGTGTACCGAACAAATCCTGGTGAAATTTCAGTGATAACATAAATATCGCGGGAGCTTATAACAAACCCAACGGTTATAGGACCTTTCAACAACAATTTTTTTTCCGTGCGTCTGTTTTTTCTTGTAGTTTATGTCTGCGCGTTTTTCCGGCAGAGGAGTTTTGGTGCACCTACTAATTGAGAACCAAATTTAATTGGTCCACTAATAAATATTCACATCACTTACATCATGCAAAAGCCCACTTTCATACAGCTATTTCATTCTTGTTTTAAAATAAAATCTTCTTAATGGCATACTTAGGAATGTTTCTGCCTAAATTGAGTCATTTTTTTCTCTAATGAAATTCAAAAATTATGCTAAACGTTATTAAATACGGATACTAGAACTTGGTGAGTTTTTGAACTCTTCTTGTACCGTAATATCCTAATTTATTTTGCAAAAATCATAAAGGATGCCTTTGATTCTTAAGAAGTTAGAGCGCCCTCAATTTCGTTTGATACTGTGCAACACTTCTGTTGTGAAATAGTTGCTTGAAGCGCCGTGATGCGCTGCGGCACGGCGCGGCGCGGCGGGCAGGCGGCAAACGCCTACAAACCTAAGTGGATACTTCAAGCATTGCGCAACGCGTGAAGTATCCCCTTATGTTTGTAGGGGCCTGTGCGCCTTACGCGCTGGTAGCACGCCGCTTCTGTTTCGTTCTAATATTTAAACTCGTGGAGTCAGCATTTTTCAGCTCATGATATTGAAATTTTTGCACACTGTGCATGCAATAATCTCATTTAATTTGATTAAAAAAAAAAAAAAAAAAAAAAAAAAAAAAAAAAAAAAAAAAAAAAAAAAAAAAAAAAAAAANTGGCCATCAATACTTCACCTCATAGCATCTTGTGAAAATGCATCTCGTAGACAAGTACACTCCTGGAGCAACGCAAATTATATATTGAATTTACATACAATTTAATATTTTGATATGATGATGGTGAAATTTATTTATTTTTGTTTCAAGGAATTCGTTGTAAATAAAGAAATTTCATCGAGGCTCGATAAAAGTTTGAACGTGTGTTGTGATGTTGAAATTCAGTACTCTGTGCTGCCGTGCTACGGAACATATGGAAACTGGCCTTTTTTACAAAATTGACTCATCGTTTTTATAATCCTTGAGATACGAACTGCATCAACTTATTTTTGCAAAAAAGTGGTAAAAAAGTGCTGAGTCTACTTTATTTTCCGGGGAAATTGAAGCCAGAAAGTTCAACATTTTCAATTAGAGTCAGAAATTTTAGTTCTAATGGATTCATTACAAGACTGAGGGAGCGAGTGTTCAGCTCAAGCAGATGCATTAGAAAATCCATTTCAATTAGAGTCTGACTCTAATTGAAATTTTTAACTTATTGACCTTGTTTTCTTCGCAAAAGAGTGTACACTTAGCACTATTTTTCCACCTCGTTACTCACAGTTTGGGCCACGTTTTTGAGTGTTTTTTCATGCCCATTTTTTGCATTACCAACGTAACTCCTAACAAGTCATGTTCGAAATTCAATACGGTAGGTAGGCCGCAAAGAAATCATGGATAATAACTAGGTATTGTTAGGTAGGTCACAAAAAAAATAAAATAAAAAAAATAAAATAAATAGGTATTGTTCCAAGGCTAAGTTTCGTGAAACTTATAACACAATTACGTAGCATGCAAATGGAAAATATCCTTTTTATGTAATTGAAAGAAATTTAGTCGATTTTTAATAAACCAAACGATTTCTTGGAGTCTTTTGGAAGATTAGTGGCAATTTGACAAAGGACGGAGGCTTCTTTCAGTATAATTTTCCGGTCAGAGGCTTCTGAGCCCGTTTTTTCAAAACTTCATTTCTGCACTCACTGCTCTCCTCGCTATCACGGTTGCTTAGTTCCGTATTTCGTTACTATTTATATTCAGTTGTATTGTTAGATGAAGAAGAAGAAGAACCCCCAAGCACCTACCCAGGACGTGGAGGGTCCTCAAGTTCCCGCCGAGGCAAAGGGAATCAGCTATGTACGTTTTTTAAGTGCTTAACTCATAGCGAGCGCATTTTGCTTTCAACCTACCATTAGCTGAATTGCAATGAAGCTCTTGCATGTGTGAGGAATTTGCGATTCAACCTCTTTTTTTCTCGTAAAATTTTGCGAGAGACACGATGGGGCCATTATTTCCTCTGATTCAAACTCCAAAACTGAAAAAAGTTGAGGCCGTAACAGACTGATTTAGTGACCAAGTCATTCGATATGACATCGAACTCTTGGTTCAAATACAAACTAACTAGCATAACCTCAAGTGCGAATTCTTTATAAGTTATAGTTAATTGTACTAATTTATTAAAGTTTAGTCACTGACCGGTCATAAATAAATAAAGACTCATTGATCACTAGAACTTTTGATTATAAGGAACACTTGGACTTTTTTTACCTCCATGGTGCAAAGGGCCCGAATTTTTGACTGAAACTGCGTATTTTCATGTTTATTTTGTCACATTTTAAATTTCAAGGGGTTCTAAAAGAAGGAAATTTCACGAGAAAACCAAGGGAGCCACTTTTGAAACCTCAAAATTTTGTATAAACAGCGTTATAAGCTTTTGGAGTTTCCAAATTTTGTCCGAGCTCTCCCATCAGCACGATCCATTGTGCACCGTACCTAAGCCTGCTAAAGCCCCCCCCCCCTCCATCCCTTATGAGGACATTACGGAATTCATGGACGGCCCCTAAGTGCCTGCTTCACTAGTTTGTTATAATGCACATATTGACACTGTGCTCTCGAAATTCATGAATTTTCCTCAACGATGGAAAATTGATCATGATTTCGACCCGAATCGAGTTTTTTCGCTCTCCTCGAAAATAATGACTTTTCACTTCGAGTCCCTTTCTCCGAAGTCCAATCAGAAATAATGGAAGTTTCTTATTGTTCAGCGGTTGATCGTGTGGATTTGTCTGGTCGCTTCATGCAAGGACGCTGGTGGTGCTACGAGGAGGGTTGCACTAAAAATTTCAAGCATGAAAAAGATCTCCGATGGCACTTGCGAGCCCATGAGATGGTTCGTCGAGGTGAGACCAAATGTCCCATCGCAGGATGTAACGCAGTCTTCTCTAGACCATGGGTTTTACAGCGTCATGTAGATGAGCAGCACCCACCATCAGGTGAGTTTGGACCTCTAGGAGTAACGGGCTTGTTGCAAACTTTTGCTAGAGGCTAAAGCAAAAATAAGAGTTGTTCCCTCTAGATAATATCTCAAAAATCTCGATGAGCGCATCTGCAAACTCTGAAATGCACCGCTGCGATCGCTCCTAACTTTACAATCTGCGTAGGAAATTTCCGTTTATTTAAGCTTCCGGCCGCAAAAAAGATACTACGGCACAGGCGAACACATAGTTAGAGGAGTCGTTCCTTTCAATCCCTGCTGAACATGGCCGACGCTTCCGCGCACAAGTTAAGGAGAGCACGAGGTCAGTCAAGGCGGATATCTATCAATGCGAGAAACATCTGAATTTAAATATGGCGATTGTTATCAGGTGGATTGAATCATCGTCCCGTCACATGTGTTTTGGCGGATTGGCGTCGGCTGTGTTGAATATTGCGTAGTATCCTTGTGAGTAGGGGTTGGATGGAATGACTCCTCTGACGAATTGTTCACCTGTGCCGTGGTATCATTTTTGAAGCGGGAAGCTCGAAAAAATGCAAATGTCATATGTTAATTGTGATGTAAGGAGTGCATTTCAGACTGCCGATGCGCTCTTCGTGAGTTTTGAGACATTTTCTATGAGTAGCAACTCTTATTTTTGTTGAAGCAAAAGTTGGCAACAGGCCCATTAGAGCATAGTAAAATGAATGTAATAATAAAGAATAACCAGTGAGATTCCAAGACGCGATGGGCCTGTTGCAAACTTTTGCAGAGCAAAAGTAAGGGTTGTTTCTATTAGTAAATGTTTCAAAACTCACGATGAGCGCATCGGCAAAGTTTGAAATGCACTCCTAACTTCACAATATGAGGAAGAAATTTGCGTTTTTTTGAGCTTCCCGCTTCAACAACGATACAACGGTACAGGTGAAAATTTCGTTAGAGAAGTCGTTCCATTCAACCCTTTCGCAAAAGCAATACCCAACACAGCCGACGCTTCCGCGCGCTAATCACAGTTGGAAGCACGAGGCCAACCAAAGCGGATCTTTTATCAACGCGAAGAAATCGTAAATGTAAACATGCTGGGTTGTAATGGTTAGAGTCTCGTCTAGACACATGTGTTTTGGCGGATTGGTGTCGGCCATGTTGAATATTGTGTAGTATCCTAGTGCACTGGGGTTGGATAAAACGACACCTCTCTAACGAAATGTGCACTTGTGCCGTAATATCGTTTTTGAAGCGGGGAACTCAAAAAAACGCAAATTTTTTACACAGATTGTGAAGTTAGGAGTACATTCCAAACTTCGCTAATGCGCTTATCGTGATTTTTGAGACATTTGCGACATTTTGTCTTGAGAGTCTCCGAGATGTATACATCATAGTGATCAAAAGTCCAAGCACTCAGAAAAATGGCTCGCGAAGCGAGCCGAATGTCACTTGTGTAGCGAGTGACCGGGGGCCAAGGGGCCAGGGGGTGCAACCCTATGGCTAGCCGTGAAGCGCGAAGTGCGCCCAGAACGGCTAGTACTACTGTAATTCTGGTTACTTTCACTAAGTAGTATCACTGTGTAAAAAATCAAGTAGGCTTTCAGAAGATGTTCCATACATATTTTCGGTGCATTCATATTCTGTTAATATGTTAGGTGAGGAACCAGGCGGTAGGCGCAAAGCTAAACGCAGCAGCAGTCAAGCGGTTGATCGTGATCCAGGTAAGTTTATGCTGCCGTGCTAAGGAAGAACGCCGTATGAGGATTCTGCTGTTGTCACATTTTCTTCGAACAAATATTTATCTTTGACAGAGAGTATGCATATTTTTTCTTGAAAATTTCAGATGTTTTCGATTAAACTGTGCAAAAAAATTCAAAAAAAAAAAATTGAAGGATATATGTTCAGAATTTCCTGAGATAATTCGTTTCTTATTGAAGAAAATATGACAAGTCTCTGACTGAAAACTGAAGTCTCATACGGCGTTTTTCCTCAGCATAGAAGTATTCTTAAATTGATATCTACGGTCAAAGTGCCAACATAAGTATATGTCGATGCGCAAAATCTCTCATTACATTTAGGTTTTTAGATGGGAGGCCTCATCATGATTTATGAACAAAATTCCGTCCGATTTTGCTGGTTTTTTTCAATATACCCTGAAAATTTTCTACAAATTTTGAACAATATTCCTTTGTAACGTAAACAAAAAGAGTGAAACTTTTCAAACACCTCAATCGAGCTCTGTATTTTTGTAATTTCATCGGGTGTGTTTTTTCAGACTGGGGCTTGTCCCCTTGATTTCCTGTATTTTTTCCAGGCACGCATCTGATCTTTCTGATGACGTCATAATTGGATAACATTTTGCAAAAAAGGAACCAGGGGCATTGCAATGTTGCTAAGATTGTGCAACTTCTTTTGTCTTGGAAGAAATACCTGATTATCCATTACCAGTTTCTATATTCCTCTCTAAAAGCTTTAAATTTCCGACAAAATCACCATGTAAATTTCATATTTCACCAGAATTTCTGTAATTTTATTGCTAAGGATGAACTTGCACAATCTTAGCATCCAAGGCCGGATTGGGGGGGGGG